ACAAGAAAAGGGTCCTGAGGTTCAGAACCGTTAGTGACTTCTTGGTCAAAGTAGTGCTGTCAGGAACTGGAAACTGAATCTGGGCCTGCCCACTGTGGAGCGTAAGCTTTCAGAGATGTCAGTGGCACTGCACTGTTTTCTTAGCCTTGCTCTCCATCTCCTGGTCAGCTAGGTAAGAAAGCCCGTCCTGCTGTAGCCCCCTCCTCTAGTTTACCACCCACACATTTATGCTTTAAGCTCTTCCTGAGTGCTCTGTGTTCTTATATTTTCTTGATATTCCTTGTCTGGATGATATTTTCCCAGCTTGCCATTTTCAACATTCTGATAATCTTTTCTGTTTCTGCTGCCTCCTCTGTGGAACTTCCCTGATTCTATTTGCTCTTCCTCCAAGATGATTGTTCAAATTTCTGTTCTATTAGTAACTTGTATAACGGTCACTTTTGAAGTTTTTCTGTCTCATTGTCTTATTAATTCTTTGAAGACAGAGACCACATAATTTTGTATCTCTGTATTCAGCACAGACTATAGTGTTTGATGACATTGATAACAATGATTTTATTTATGACAAGTGAGGGTTACTGTTTCTCTGTGCCATATACTGTGCTAGAAGCTTTTTATTCACTATCTTGGTTTCACTAATTCCAGGAGACAGATTCACGGGATCTTTGTCATGTCAACTTAACCATAAAGTGAGAATGACAGCACTTGTGCTTTTTCTCTAAGGTTGTTAGACAAGGATGGGGGGGCCAGGATTTACTCTATTAGACTGTTTTTATAAAAGTTATTTCCATTACATCATACTGTCTACTTATTTTACAAATAGGTAGGAATCTAGGAAGTACCTCTGGCATTTTTTACACTCCCAGTTTTCCCATTTCTGATCAATGTTTGAAGGGGCACTCATAGGTAAAACTAATAAATGACTTCATAAACTTAGGAAACACTGAACCCAGTTGCCCACAAAAACTTATCAGTTATTAGGTTACCAAATATAAATAATATATACATGTGTTTATTTAAATAATAAATTATCATAAGACAACATTCCACAAGTATAATAGAATACATACTATGAGGCATACTCAATGCCGTTGTACAATTTAATTCTTCTTAGAAGTTTTTTTTTTTTTTTTAAATGCCTTGTAGTTTTGTTTAGGGCATAGATTCTATGTTAAGGTTGGTTAGTCTTGGACTCAGTATAGGTGATATATTGTTGAAAGTCTTATGAGGATCTGGGTACAACAAAATTCATATAATTCAGTGTTCTAGCATGGATCCTCAGGGCATAGTGGGAGTAGATAACCCCTTAATAGTCATTGATAGTAATTCGTTGATGATCTTCAAAGGTATTTTCCTTATATGGTCTATCTGGGATTAGAGGAGAAGAGATTCTGATACTAGAGAGAAACTTTTATAAAAAAGTCCCTTTTTTCTAAATATTTTTAGACTTTCCAGTTCTATAAAAAACCAAGTATTTATATTTTAAGAGTAATATAAAATTTGATATTCTATCCACATGATGTTTAAAAATTACATTCATTTTATGTAGTTTTTAAATACCTAATATGATTTTCTATAAACTCTCAAAAACCTATATTTTTCACCTAAAGAAAAAAAAGATCCAAAATCCAAGTATTTTTTAAAAATATTTATTTATTTATTTGAAAGTCAGAGTTACACAGAGAGGAGAGGCAGAAAGAGAGAGAGAGACAGGTCTTCCATCTGATGGTTCACTCCCCAGTTGGCTGCAGCGGCTGGGGCTGAGCCAATCTGAAGCCAGAAGCCAGAAGCTTCTTCCAGTCTCCCACGTGGGTTCAGGGTCCCAAGGTCTTGGGCCATGCCATCTTTTACTGCTTTCCCAGGCCATAGCAGAGAACTGGATAGGAAGTGGAGCAGCCGGGACTAGAACTGGCGCCCATATGGGATGCCGGCGCTTCAGGCAAGGGCATTAACCCACTGTGCCACAGTGCTGGCCCCCCAAAATCCAAGTATTTAAGTCAGTGAACATACTCAATTTTGGGAGGGGGGTAAAAAGACTAAGGTGTTTCCATTTATTGTGTGTGTGTGTGTGTGTGTTTAATGATACATGTCTATGTGGCACTGTGTGATTCTTTGGGTACATGTATACATTGTATATTGTCCAACCAGGATAAATATATCTGTCTTCTCAAACATTTTACATTTCTTTATGGTGAAAACATCCCACATCTTATCTTCTATTTATTTTTTTAACAGAGAAATGTACAGTATGTTAATATTATCTGTTGTCACCCTACTGTGCAATAGAACCCCAGAACTTCTTACTCCTATCTAGCTATAACTTGACACCCATTGGTCAAACTTGCCTCACAGCTCCCTTCATATTCCCTCCCAGTGCAGGGTCTCAGTCCACCCGTACAGGATGGACTGGGCCCGAGGAAAGGTAAGTGGGCCGCCCGCCCGCCTGTTTCCCAGCCTCCCGATCCTGGAGACAATCAGACGCAGCGGGGAGCCAAGTCAAGCAGGGACTCATTTATTTTGCGCAGAACAGAGCCTTTTAAAGCACAAAACTGCAGAGTCATTGGGGCAGGGCATAGGACCAACCAATCACTTAAAAGATCATTTTACGGGGCGATTTCTATGGGACTAGCCATATGTCTATGCACTTGCTATCAGTTGTCGTCAACTTCCCTTGATGTTGCGCAGCCCATTAGCTTTGGTGGTAAACAACTTTGAGTTCCACCCACCTTACTTCCTCTCAGCGCCATCTTTGAATTGCCTCGTGTAACTAATTTCCCCACATCCCAAGACTGTGGTAACCATCTATTTTACCCTTAATTTCTCTGAGATTACCTTTTTTTTAGACTCTGGATATGAGTGAGATCATTGGATACTTGACTTTCTGTTTTGGCTTACTTCACTTAGCATAATGACCTCCAGTTCCATTTATGCTGTTGCAGATAACAAGATTTCATCATTTAATGACTGAGTAGTATTACATTACATGTATATACTGCATTTTATTTATTCATTCATAAGTAGATGGACACATAGATTGTTACTATTTCCTGGCTATTGCGAATAGTGCTGCAATGAACATTGAAGTGCAGATGTCTCTTCAATACTGTGACTTCATTTTCTTAGGATATATGTGCCTATAGTGGGATTGCTGATTTTATGGCAATTCTATTTCTATTTTTAGTTTTTTGAGAAGCCTCCATAAAGTTTTCCTTAATGGCTGTTTTATATTTGTACCAACAGTGCAAGGGTTCCCATATCTCTGTATCCTTGCCAGTGTTTATTATCTTTTGTCTTTTTGATAATAGCTGATCTAACTGGCGTGAAGTGATATTTCATTATGGCTTTTTTGTGTTACCCTGATGTTTCCTGATGTTGAACATTTTTTCTTGTACCTGTTGGCCATTTGTATGAATTCCTTTGAGAAATGTCTGTTTCAGTCTACTGCTTATTTTTAAATTGGATTAATTTGTATTTTGATATTGAATTGTGTGAAATCCTTTTATATTCTTCTCATTAAGTCCTTGTGAGAATGTAGCTTCCGAATATTTTCTTCCATTCTGTAGGTTACCTCTTCACTTTGATTATTTCCTTTGCTATGCAGAAACTCTTTGGTTTGATGAAATTCCATTTTTCTATTTTTGCTTTTATTTCTGATGTTGTAGGGATCTGATCCAGATAATCCAATGTCCTGAAGTGTTTCCCCTGTGTTTTCTTGCAGTAGTTTAAAGTTTCAGGTCTTTTATTTAGGTCTTTAATCCATTTCAAGTGGAGTTTTTTTTTATACATGGTGAAAGGTAAGGGTCTAATTTTACCTTCTGCATGTGCATACCGAGCTTCCCCAGCACCACCTAGGGAAAACACTGTCCTTGTACCTTTGTATGTTCTAGCACCTTTGCCGAAGATCAGTTGGCTAAAGGTGGTGTGACTTAAGCCAGGTAGTATAATGCCTCCTACTTTTTCTTTTTGCTCAAAATTGCTTTGGCTATTTGTGGTCTTTATGGTTGCATACAACTTTTAGTAATGTTTTTGTTGAATTTTGTAAAAAGTGTCAATATGTTTTGATGGGGATTACATTCAGTCTGTGTTTCACTTTGGGTGGTAGGGACATTGTAGCAATGTTGATTCTTCCAGTCCATGTACTTGGAAAGTCTGCATTTGTGTGTGTGTGTGTTGGCTTCAGCACCTTTCACCAGTGGTGTACAACTTTCACTGTAGAGATTTTTACCTCATTGGTTAAGCTTATTCCTAGATATTGTGTTTTGTAGCTGCTGGAAATGAGATTGATTTCTTGGTTTTCAGAAATTTGCTATTGCTGTAGATAGGACAATGCTACTAGTTTTTGCATATTGACTTTATATCCAGTAACTTTGCTGAGTTTTTTTTTCTTCTTTTATTCTGATAGCTTCCTATGGAATCTTTGAGATTTTCTATTTATAAGATCATATCATCCACATACAATGACAATTTGACTTCTTTCTGATTGGTATACTTTTTATTTCTTTCTTGTTACCCAATTGCTCTGGCTAGGACTTGAAGTACTATGTTGAATAAAAACCATGAAAGCATCATTGTCTTGTTGTAGATCATAGTGATTATAAGGTCAGCTGTTAGCTTGTTATACAATGCCTTTATTATGTCCGGGTGTGTTTTTATCATGACGCAGTGTTGAATTTTATCACGTCTTCTGTGCTCACTGAGAAGACCACGCGGTATTTGTTCTTCACTCTGCTGATGTGTTTGAACCATTCTTGCAGCACCGTGCTGAACAGCATTTGATCTTGGAGACTAACCTTTTTCGTTGCTATTGGATTCCATTTGATACTAGTTTCTGGAGAATTTTGGATATATATTCATCTGGGATGAAGCTTTCTTTTTGTTGTGTTCTTGTCTGGTTTTGGTATCAAACTAATGCTGGCCTCATAGAATGAGTCTGGAAGAATTCCCCTTTCTTATGTTTTTTGAAATAATTTGAGAACACTGCTCCTTGGTTTGCCTTACAGGGAGGAGTTGGTCTCACCTGAGGACCTGCTGGAGTGGCTGCGCCCTTTCTGCGCTGACGACAGCTGGCCGGTGCGGCCTCGCATCCAGGTGCTGCACATCTTCGGGCAGTCGTTTCACCTGACGGAGGAGGACAGCAAACTCCTCGTGCTCTACAGGACGGAAGCCATTCTCAAAGCCGCGTGGCCCCAGAGACAGGTAGGGGAGCGCCTGACTGGGGCTGTTTTACCTTCTAACAGATACTAGATGTCAGGATTATTAGTTCTGGGTTAGTGAATATTATGTTCAAGTGAATCATCAGCTTCCCATATATTTGTCATTATAGCCATTTAGTCATTGACAGCAAAGGTTTTTTTTAATTCTCTCCGTGTTTCACCTTGCATGTGCATTGTAGAAGGTGTCTCCCCCACTGAGCGTGAGTGCATTGTGTTTCTCTCTGTAGCAGGGAGGATTGCTCAGTGTGCATTAATTCTGGCAGCTCACCTCTTCTCAGGAGAAAAGCTGATGTGAATGAAATGCAGTGTGTAGTTCAGCCGGTTCATCTCTTCCGTGCTCTGTCTTTGCACTAAAATGCCCTCCCTTCTCTGTGCCTTGATGAACATTATGGAGCAGAGATAAAAGATCTTCATGTCTCCATTCTCTCCTGCAAGGCTCACTCAGTCTCTGCTCTCTGGAATCATCTTCCCTTCCCTAACCATTGCAAGTTGAATTCTTTATCTTTGAGCTTTAGTTATCTATTATTATTATTAAATTGTTGTCTACCCATTACCCTGAAAACCCTGTTCTTCTTTAAATCCCTCTAAGTATGCTGTGCACACACTCAGAAATACTTGTTGATTCAGTAAGTTCTATATCAAAAAAGGCAGATGGCTATTGAAGGCTGAAATTCTAAATTGATGCGTTGTAATGACACAGGATGTAGGAGCCATCCACCTCAAGCAAGTGTTTCAGAGTGAACCTTGCAAACCAAGATCTCTTAGATTATCTCACTGGCTGTTTCCTGACAATCTGCCTCCAACTCAGTGTGCCTTTTTTTTTTTTTTTAGTAATTTATTTTTATTTCAAATTCAGAGTTACAAAGAGAGAGCGACTGGGAGAGATAGAGGTCTTCCATTTTCTGGTTCACTCCCCAAATGGCTACAGTGGCCAGGGCTGGGCCAGGCCAAACCTAGGAGCCCGGAGTTTCTTTTGGGTCTCCCACATAGGTATGGGGCCATATTTAGCTGCTTTCTCAGGTTCATTAGCTCGGAGCTGGATCGGAAATGGAGCAGCTGGGTCTTGAACTAGCACCCATATGGAATACCGGCATCATTAGCCCCTCAGTGTGCCTTCCGATTTTAAAGATTTGTTTGTATTTTTATGTTCTTAATACTACTTTTGATGAATAATCTATTCTTTTAAAGAATTAATTTCAAATTTTAAGAATGTGTGGGAACTCATGTCAGAATATCTGTTCTTATTTTTCTCTGTAAGAGAGATAAATACTATTATTCTTCCAAATTAAAGAAAAGGAAATGCAAAAAGTATGGATTTCTCAAAGATTCTCTAGTGTTGTTGCCAAAGGCTCCATCTCTGGGGCCTTATTCACACATTCAGTCTTCATGCTTTGTCTGAATTACATCAGGGGGCCACTCACAGGAACACGAGTGAAATGGATGGTACTGTGTTCCAGGGATGAGAGACTGGACGTTGGAGGTGTGCTTGTTTTCAGCAAATGTGGAGGTCCCCATAGCGTCCCTGAGGTGAACCCTGTACCAGGGCACGTGGTGTTTGCATGTGGAACTTTTGGTTCTGGCTCTCAGCCTGAAACAAGTGGACAGTTACTACCATCCGGATCTTTCCTGACACCACCTCCAGCTTTCAAGTTACAAGCTTGCTCGATTTCATCTTCCTGAATTGCTGGAGCCTGCCAGGGTGATGAGGCTGGTTGCTCTGGCTGGAGTCTCACCTTATGCCATATCAGATCTGATATGAAAATTGAAAATTTTACCCAACTGTGAGGAAGCCAGGAGGAGGGGACACACCCATCAGAGCTGTTGTTTTGAAACACTATAACATACACTTTGATATTTGGGGCCAAGCTCCTCGTAAGTAATATAGGTATCACCACTATTTTTTTAAACTTTTCTCAAAGTTCCAGTTACTCGAAGAACAAGCTGTAACTTTTGTATGATTTCAGTTATTTCTGAGACTTTAATTTTGTTATAGCTTAAGCTTTTTTTCCAAAAACAGGAACCAGGGCCACTAAGCCTGTTATTAAGATTTCTTTTACATACACTTCTCTAAATTGACTTGAGAGGATTTCTGTGAATGCCAATTCTTCTGTCATTTTTGGAGTCTGTAGGTCACTCTACTTTTCACCAGTATTCCCCCTGTGCTGGGGCAAACTTGTTCAGGCCCTCTAGAAAAGATGTCTCAAACTATAGGATGAGGGCTAAGACTTCTGCCTCCCTCACTTTTTTTTTTTAAAGATTTATTTATTTGTTTGAAAGTCATAGTTACACACAGAGAGAAGGAGAGGCAGAGAGACAGGTCTTCCATCCACTGGTTCACTCCCCAAATGGCCGCAATGGCCAGAGCTGCACTGATCCAAAGCCAGGAGTCAGAGGCTTCTTCCGGGTCTCCCACACAGGTGCAGAGGCCCAAACACTTGGACCATCTTCTGCTGCTTTCCCAGGCCATAGCAGAGAGCTGGATGGGAAGTGGAGCAGCTGGGTTTCGAATTGGCACCCATATGGGATGCCAACACTGCAGGCGGCAGCTTTACCTGCTACGCCACAGCACCGGCCACGCCCACCTCACCTTTTTTATGGTCTTTCCTCTGTACTTTCCCCTTACATATGAACAATTTCCCTGTTCTTGGGAGCTAATGACCTATTTTCTTAAATCTTTGGTAACTGGTTTAATTATGGTAATTAAGTAATTAATATAAACTATGGCCCATAGTTTAAATTTCTCTTAAATTATTATTTCTCAAAAATTTTCCTTACCTTCCACAAATCTCTATACAGATCAGGCACCTAATATATAAATGTGTGTGTGTGTGTGTGTCTCCACTCTTTTTCCAGCAGTTTTATAGTCTTAGGGAAGATTCTTAAACAGTGTGCCTTGGCTACTTGGTGTGTAAAATGGAACTTTGAACAAAGGGAGAAAGAGGATGGTTTGCTTACCTCATCTGTCATATCTTCCACACACATTAAACTATACTCTTCATCTCCATGTCTCAAACGCCTGGAGGATCCTCGAATGTTGACTGTATGGGTGTGTACTCTCTTACTTTCTCCCCATCTCTGTTCATTCTTGGAGCTGCTGTCAGTAGTGTTAAGGATAGAGACACGTTCTTAGAGAGCAAAGCTAAGAAAAGATGATATTGCAATGTTCAGTTACCCAAAAATGTGGGACCGCTGCCTTCACTGTGGCTGGTAATCCTCTCAGGCAGACTTTGCATTCATCAAAGAAGGACTTACTATTTAATTATCCTTGAGGTGCCCAAAGTAGTGGCCCCACAAATCAGTGTGTTGCTGGGAAACCAGCCAGCTCCTGCAAAATTAAATTAAAAACAGTCTCTGGCACCTGCTACCTCGACTGGTTCCCAGTGAGACAGCAATTTCTAGTTTTCTAATGATTGGTTAACAGAATTAAATATTCAGGAACCTTCATTTTTCAGCAGTTTGAGAGGTTTTGGGTTCTGTTCTAGAAGTGTGTTCCAGCTTGGAATGGGGGGATAGGGACCATCAGGGATGAATGTATTGTGTTAATCCCCATGTATAGTTTATCTGTGTTTCTCAGCTTTTGTAATTTTCTAGTTAACTGGTGCATGAAAACTATGGGTCAAAATACTGATATTTCCTTTTTAAAAATTCCATATCTCATCACCTCAAAATTTTTTCCTGTTTTACGTAAAAGCAACATGAAGCTTATAGTTTGCCTTTTAAAATTTCACTGAGTTTGTGATTGTAAATGATCACCAGAAAGTAGTGTGAGACGACTTCTAACCTCATTACAAATTCTTCTGTTTTACCTATTTTAAAAGAAGTTTATTATCTGAAAGGCAGAGAGAGAGAGAGGGAGAGAAAGCACACAACAGAACTCCAGCCAGGGCTCGCATGTGGATGGCAGGAGCCCAAGCACACGTGACATCATCTGTTATTTCCGAATGTGCATTCATTAACAGGAAGTTTGATCCGAAGCAGAGTGTCCAGAATCAAACTGGCACTCCAGTATGGAATAGAGACTTCCCAAATGGAGTCACCTGCTGCACCACAAGGCCCACCCCTATGTTGGCCACTTTTAGCCATCAAAGACAAATTGACCTGTCTGATCAGAGATTGATTTGACTTCATGTGGCAAAACACTAACAAAAATATGCACTTTCACATCAGACAGAACTCAAAGAGCAATAACAAAATTTCAGTATGAAGAATTATATTTAGTTTTTTACAGATATTTTTTAAAAGGTTTATTTATTTGAAAGTCAGAGAGAGAGAGAGAGAGGGAGAGATCGATCTTCCATGTGCTGGATCACTCCACCAAATGACTGAAACAGCTGGGGCTGGGTCAGGCAGAAGCCAGGAGCCAGGGGCTCCGTCCGGGTCTCCTTTGTGGGTGTTAGGGACTCCAGTGCTTGAGGCATCATCCGCTGCCTCCAAAGTGCATTAGTGGGGAGCTGGATTGGAAGCAGAGTAGCCAGGCAAAGCAGCAATGCCGTGTGGATTGCAGACATTGTAAGCAGCAACTTAAACTAGTGTGCCCCAGTGCTCACCCCACCTTCAAATAATTTACTGTCACCTTAAATGACTTCAGAACAAGGCTCTCTGACATGATATGCTTAACCAAATACAGGATAAAAATTGGTGTTAAAATATATATGTGCATATCAGTATAATATATGCTTAAATAGCCATGAAATCATGGATTCCTAGAACTAGAAGAGATTTTTAAAAGCATACCAATTTGGTGGTCTTATTTTATTTTTTTGTTTTAAGATTTATTTGAAAGTCAGAGTTACACAGAGAAGGGAGAGGCAGAGAGAGAGAGAGAGAGAGAGAGAGAGAGAGAGAGAAGTCTTCCATCTGATAGTTCACTCCCCAATTGGCCGCAACGGCCGGAGATGCGCTGATCGGAAGGCGGGGCCAGGAGCTTCTTCCGGGACCCCACGTTAGTGCAGGGGCCCAAGGACGTGGCCCATCTTCCACTGT